CGGCGAGGAGAGCGACGGCGAGCTCGTCCTCGCGTGCTGTAACCGCCGCCCGCCCCGGCCGCCCCCGCCTCCAGGACGGCGAGGAGAGCGACCTGGACACGTGTCCCGGCCTGCTGCCGCCGCCCCCAATCGACTTGGAGGGCACAACAACGTCCTCAAGAACATAGAAGTGTAGAGGCTGCTGCAGCCGGTCTGCCCGAACCGCGGTTGGGTATGATAATTTGAATAATGAAACTGGGTTGAATATTGGCCAATTTATTTCTGCCAGATGCACGTCTCTCACACAGTTAATACTAGAGTAAATACATTTCACTTAAATTGTTTGGTAAATCAAAACAAAATAATTCTCACAAAGTAATGTGAGCTCTATTGCTCACACATTCTAGGAAACATTAAATAGATTGTGAAATGGAGTGACATATCTGTTCTCATCCATCTCTGTAACAACACAAACAATTTTTAATTCTTTTACAGAAATAAGCTTTAATCTACGACCAACAGAGCTGATAATCCTCACACAGTGATCTTCAATAGGTATTCGTAAACCTTGGGGAAACTTAAGTAGTTCAGTACACGATGCCTCAGAGCAGAACACCCAGACTTTTTCATTCTCCTTACTCATGATAAATTTCTTAATGATAATAATTTTTCCTAAGGTTGTAAGAGCAACAGAATTATTGAACTTCTTTCCTAAGGCAACTGAGTCACATGTGTAAACACATCTAGATGCTATGATTTTGGAGTATGTAACAAAATTATCCCCTTGCATCTCCTCACATTGAGATATTAAAAAACTTTCTTCATCATTAGGAAGGAAATCTTCTCCTTTTCCAATTACAACACATTCATTAAGAGAAAGGTACTTTGTCATTTTATTTGGCTTGGATTTAATACTCTCCAAGAATACTTCAGTTCCTGGAGTTGAGCAGGTATTTATCAAAATATGTTTCGCTTGCTTGTAGCTTAAATTTCTATGCACTTGGTGTGGAACACCACGTTGTGCATGTAGAATATTTTTTAGATTCCCTATAGCAGATTCAAAACAATAAGTTGATACTGCCCATGTTGGCCCCCACCTTGCCACATTTTCAGCTAGATGGGAAAATATATGGACATTATATGTCATGTACTTCTCACCATACAATTTCTCAACATCAGAAACCCAAAGCTGTATAAGCCGGTGAGCATTATTCACATCTTGACATGAAACACATTCTCTACTTAACAAATATACAGCTTGCACGAGATAACTCCAATGAGTCCAGAACTTCATTGGAAGAACACTTAAAAGAACAATAAGAGAGAAAAATAAAATCCAATTTTCAAACTCACGAGCCTTCCAGTAAGCCATATCCTTTAACAACCTTAAAGCCCGCCTCACTTCAATGCATGGTTGCAACTTTTCCATTCTCATATTTAATATGGCTAACTCATCCGGTGATCCTACATAGAAACTTCTTTTAGCATTGTGGAGCCACTCGTCAAGGAAGGTACGGCCAATTCCAAACGGAACGTTATGGGCAAAATCTTGAACCATCCCGTCGACTAAATTAAACTTTTTTAGGGATGCCAAGGGACTTATAAATTGTACACCATATACATAAACTAGATTATCATTGTTTAGGCATTCATTAGCATGTGCAACTAAATCTTCATGATTCCTTTGTGCAGGTGGCACTTCTTGCATAGGAAACACTACTTTATCCAGCCACAAACCAGGTATGAGACACCAGTTACAAGAGTAATAGCCGGAATGGCTATTAATGCCTTGAACAGCTCCTCTTGCCCCTGAGTCAACACAACAAGCTATAATGTACAGTTTGATTAGCCATTCTTCTCCCTCTACCCTTAAATGAACAAGGGTGTCTAACAATGACTCAAAATACTCAACTACAGGTTTTAAGTACAAATCCATTGGAGGGTGTTTGTTTCCAAACCATAAACCTCCTAATAAAAGATGTTTCATTCTCAGTAAAGGTGGCAATTCATTGATAGAAAAGAAACAAGGCCAAATGGAAAAGCTTGATGATTTGAAAAGTGGTGAACCATCAGTAGAAAATACTAAAGACAGCACTTTTTCTCTTAAATCATCTGGCAAGGAGGCTGCAAATGATTTATAACATTTACCATCATAGATATCTTTCAGTGAGTTTCTTTCACTATTTTTTCTGACTGCATCTTTAGGGTGAACTAAATTGTCTCTCACCTCCTTGCTCATGAACAGAAGCTCAAGTTGAGACTCAATAGGAAATAGAACAAAGTAAGTGGCTTTTGTTAAATCCTTAAGATAATTCACAGTTTTACATCCAGGACATAGCTTCTCTGGACTATCTACATTATTTACTTTTCCAAAATAATAAGTACACTTAATGCAATAGAAGTATTTTGCAAGCTGCTTAGAAGACAAAAGTAAATTGTCAAGCAGGTACTGAGTTCCTGGAATGACTGGCGACACAAACAAGCTGTTTACTAATCTCACGGAATCAACAAATGCTTTTAAACTTAAATTATTTTGTTCACTGAAAGCAAGTAGTTTCAACAAAATTTCAGCAGGGGAATTATTTACTTCTGTACCAATGTGAGATGTAAAGGGCTGCTGATTGCGAATAGCTCTCCACAATGCTTCATGTTCCGTAAGATGATTATCTTGAGGAGCATTTGCGCCATGGTCAGCTGGTTGGTGCTGTCCGATTTCACCACAATTTGCATCATTGTGGGCAGCGTTCTGGTCTCCATCTTGGCCAATAACTTGTTGCTCTTGCGAATCATCTGGTTCAGCATCAGCATCACAAAAAACATCCATGGTCACATCTTCATCATCAGCTATAACCTGAGTAAAAATACTGGATATAGAATGACAATTTTATAGAGAAATTTATCGTGCCAACCCTTCATAAAATTAATTATTTACCTCTGTTTCTCTCTGATCCTCTCTCTCTTCATTGTCATCAACCGGCACAAACAATTCTTGGTCACAAACCTGTAAAGAGAACGCAAGAATGAACTTCTGTGCAAAGACAATAATTTTTCCACTCAAATAATAGTATTAAAAGATATTCTTAGAAGTACAAATCTTTACCCTCATATAAGCAGGTGGTACGCGAGAACACCTTTTACGCTGTTCTTGATTTCTTGCCTGAGATAGTTCTTTTGATGGTACTTCCGATCTGTGAGGCGTCTTGCCCTCTTCAGTTGTTTCCTAATTCATAAAGAAATGTGTAATAATTCAAGTCACATTTGTTGCACTACACATATGATACCATTTGAATTAAAAACAACTGAAATATAACAAACCTCTGTTTCTGAGCAAGTGAGTTCCGCCTCTCCCTCCTCTTCAAATTCACAACGATTGCAATCAACATCAGAACCTGAAGATTGTCTTTGAGGTGAAGGGTCTCTGTCGGGCACTTGTTCTTCTGATACTGTTAGTGCAGCATTTGCAAGAGCACCAGCATTAAGTTGAGAACAATCTCCAGATGCAGATGCTTGCTCGTCCTAAAAACAAAAAATTACTATTATAATAAGACAGTACCAGTTTTACTTTCAAACAAATATTGTGAATTGGAGAATGAAAATGATCGATTTGCAAAGCAAAGTGGAAAATATTTTGAATCTGATACTCACAACTCCAAGGTTACTGTAGAACCGTTGTGATCTTTTCGGCACCGGGACTCCTTCGTCTTCAAGGTACAGTTTATAGCGGCCCCTTTCCTTTCGTTTACGTGGTGCACACATTGTTGCAAAGCTGAAATTTAGTGTACTAATGAAGAAAGTGACAGAACTAACCCAAAATACATGTACTGTTTACTGTCAGCCGACAAACTATGAAACATGAAACGTCCCTGCGCCTTCTGCTACAGACAGGGTTCTCCGAACCAAAGACTTCCGTCCCCAACACACCAAACAAAATAATAAAAGAAACTGAAATAGAACTCGAGTGTCCCAAAAAATGCATATTTCAAATGACTATTATTACATTCACTTTAAAATGAACCACGCAAACACAAAAATGTTGAGATAATTATTTAAAAAGATATATTATAGTGTGCAAGGGTTTGCAACACCTTTACGGCTGTGCCGCCCCCCCCCCCCTCCCCCGCTCCGCTCCCCCGAGCCGGGAGCCGGGAGCCAGCAAGCAGTATCAGACGCGGCCAACCAACGGTCAGAGATCATCAGGAGTCATTTTGAATGTTTTGCCGGCGCCGGCGTTGAAGTTGGAGAGTTCGAGTTTTGTGGTTTCACGTAGTGTCCCGAACAAATCAGCAATGGTGAAGCCTAATTTGGCTTTCGTTAATTTTTTTCGGGAGCAGCGCGGGAGGCGTGTAGTAGAGGTTAAAGACATAGTTGTACCTGAAGGTCGTGAGCCTGACTCTTGGCCTAGGCATCATGCTGACTTTGAAAAGGACCAAGTTTTTAGTGTTCTGTGGCCCCATTTGCCGAACGAGGGGTCAGCTTCTACAATTGGAGAATACGAAGCACACATACTCTGCTTTGGAGGTGAGTTCATATGTAAAAGATGCTTTGTATCGTTTCTAACCTCCCAAAGTTAACGGCTTTTGTGTCGGTGTGCTACGGAGCAAGCCATAATGACGATTTAATAGTTTTGTCGAACTGCTTCGTAACCAAAACACGTTTCCACGTTGTGTCTATGCCCTCTATTGCACTAAGTGCGTATAGCTTACATTTTACAAATCTTGTGCTCTAAATGTGCCAGTGGTCATTCCCTCTACCTGCAAGACATACATTCTTTTTCTTGACAACAGTTTTCTGTTAAATTTATATGGATCTTTAACTTTGCGCTAATTCTTTAAGTCTGCCATTTTTTAGTGAAACAAGCCCCAGTATAAACAGAAGCTGTATGTTTTTAAGTACTTTTATCATTTTATTTTCATTTTTTTCAGTAACCATGGAGGACTTGATACATGAGGCTAAAACAACCGGTTATAAAATCCCTCGTGCTGATGTCGTCAAATATGAGAATGTTGGTATTAATGTGAAGTCGTCAAAGAAACACAAGTCCCCTGATGAGAAAAAGTCCTCACGAGGCCGTACATTGAAGAAGTCAAAGACCCTTGATACATTGCCTGTGCCAGCTGTACCTCCAACTCACAACAAAAGGGTAAGTTTTTAAGAATGTGTGTCAGTGTAATGTGATCTTATTTTTGGTTGTCTTCAATCTTGCGTATTACTTTTGCAGAAGAAGAGGCTAACAGATGAGGAATCTACAAGGCGAGAGAGGAATAAGGAGTTTGCATTGTCACTTGAAATGGATCTACCTTTTCCAGACGATATCTCGGAAAACAGTGCAGCCTTAGAGGTATATCATTAAAGTGTAGGTGATGGTATTTTTAATGTTTACATTCTTTTATTTACTTCTTCTCTTCAGGTCACAAACTTATCTCAAAGAATTAAAGTAGAGCCCTCTTTGAAATCCCACAACTCTAATGGTCACACTGGTGGGAAGAGTGACAGGGATGACCAAGTTTCTCTGCCACCAGCAGTTGATGAGGGCAACAAGGTAAATTTTGTTATTGCTTGTTATGCTGTAACCAATATATTTAAAGATTTGCAATGCTGGTCAGTGTTACAATGTTTCCCTCTGTGTCACAGGGCTCACATTCTGACAATCATCGGAAGTCTTCAAGCCTAGAACGTCATTCAAGTGATGGGAAACTAATCTCTGAGCACAGCAGTGTGAAGAAAGGGAGTGCTTCAAAATCACATAGTAGCTCTCCTGTAAATTCTGCAAGCCTGAGACACCCTGCCAGTGATAAAAAGTTGCTTGATGAATGTGTCCAACGCAAGTCACCTGTAAAAGAATCCAAGGTAATTTTGTTTATTGCTTTTTATGATTTGCAATACTGGTCAGTGTTATATTTCCCTCTGTGTCACAGGGCTCACATTCAGACACTCATCGGAAGTCTTCAAGCCTAGAACGTCATTCAAGTGATGGGAAACTAATCTCTGAGCACAGCAGTGTGAAGAAAGGGAGTGCTTCAAAATCACATAGTAACTCTCCTGTAAATTCTGCAAGCCTGAGACACCCTGCAAGTGATAAAAAATTGCTTGATGAATGTGTCCAACACAAGTCACCTGTAAAAGAATCCAAGGTAATTTTGTTTATTGCAGAATGACAATTTTATAGAGAAATTTATCGTGCCAACCCTTCATAAAATTAATTATTTACCTCTGTTTCTCTCTGATCCTCTCTCTCTTCATTGT